CGGCGGCCGAAAGAAGCAATAGGCAGAGATGTGAGAGGAGAGAGGGATGATGATGGCTAGGGACGCAAACGACGACTAGGGATCGCGAACGACGGTCGACGATGCCACGAGACTCTCCTCTATCTCTAGTCCATTCCAAACACCGATGATGCAACCTTCTTCCCATGCTAGATTTGATTCACCTCCAAATTGCCCGAGCCTGCCAACCCGACCCTCCAAATTGCCCTAGCCCGCCAACCCAACATCGGGGCATGCTTAAGTTATCAATCGATGGGTGAAGGGCTGAAGAGAGACGAATTTGGATGGGGGAAGCTAGGGCCATGGCTGGTCGATTTAGAGCTCCCCTGAAATCAACCATGGAAGTGGTGGAGGCAGGGTTTTTTTGTCGAATGAGGCAGGGGTTTTTGTCGAATGAGAGGGGTGATTGGAGCGTGCGGTTGTGAGGGAGCCGGATGGAAACCCGCCACATTTTTAGGTTCGAAGAGGAGAGCGGAGTACTGGGAGATGGTGGCGACTTCGTGGAGTCGGCGAGTTGGGAGGCGGAGAGGCGGAGGCGAGTAGGGAGGGAGAGAGAATGTGGGAGGAGGGTGAGGTCGGAAGTGGGGCAGAATTTTGCTTCTTTTTTTATTTTAAAATGTTATTAAATTAAAATTGATTTAAAATTCCATGTCATCTGTCACATCAGCGCTAACTATAATCTCTGTTAAAACTAACAGTCAATGCCGGTAAACTCTAACGGAAAAAATAGTTCTGGACATAAATGGAATATTTGAAAGAATAGGAAACAAATGACATTTCTTCGATAGTTCGGGTGTTGTAGTGGTATTAGCCCTTCATATTAAACTAGTTATTACCCGGCCCGTTGGCCGGATTACTGTATGTTATCCACTTGTGGAATGGGAGAGAAAGCAAGTGAGAGTGAAGGGATTGGGATTCCACTTGATTAGGACCGGCCCACTAATCCGATTCTTCCCGACCCGCCCCAACCTAAAGGGTCAGAAAGAGCCAATAAGAAAATACGAACGGAGAGAATTAGTAATATATCTTGACTCTTCAGAAGTGGGTCAAACAGGATAAAGGTTGGGTGAGGGCAATTTCTAGCGCTAAGCAGAGTTCTGGGTTGAATAACTTTACTTAGGCCTAGAAATTGGTGCTGATGCAGACTGCAGTTTTTATCATACCATCATCAATCATCATTGAATTAGTCCTGGGCATCCCTCCCCGTTGTCGGTCTGAATTTTAATGATGGATTCATTCCTTGCACCAGCCATATCAGCGAGTTGTCATCTCGAGCATGATTTGCCTATGCACAAATGATACAATTAGAGTATGAAACTGAATTCAAAGAAAAGGAAAAGAGAATTCTATCACATGCCAATAAATACACACATAATAGTTGAAGCTAAGTGAAAGTCATTACTCGCACATCAATTCTCAAAAATTACAGACTAAACAATGGCTAGAATGGCACTGAAACTACCAAGAATCATGGACGAAACAACTTGTCAAATTAAATAATCCTTATACTGAAACTACCTTCTAACTTGAAATAAGACATGATCACAGTTCATAGCACTCTTATCACTATGAATTGGTTGCAGCTCGTCCTTATCACTACCTCCCAAGCTCAATTAGAACAGAATAGACACAGTTATGTAAGATAACCATATCCTTACTGATCATAATTCCTTTCTCCCCTCCATTTTTGTCGGAGAAAAGAGTTATCCCCCTCTCATGCATTTCCCTTTCCCCCTCTCTTCTCCCTCTTCTTCACAAACCGATCCCTAAACCAGCAACAACAACACAAAATAGCCTTCGCCTCTGCCATCTCCATCTACTGAACGCGTTGGTGGCAAGACAGGATTGCAGAAGCAAAATTTTCTAAAATCAAACTAAATTTTTTGAAGGAGACTCAACCACGAAAAAAGAGTAAAGCAACAATGCTAATAGTTCAGATGGTTGGTTTTGATGTTATACGTTGCTTTTGTTATGGTCTCCAGTGTATCAACTGCAACAGAGATGTTTCCTCCAATCATCTTTAGTGCACGATTTAGAAGTAAGTCCTCTTGTTTGTGTCAAACGGAAACATTCATGGGTTCTTAACTCCCCTGTTAGTGTAAATGCATCAGCAGCAAAGAAGTTTGACAACACAGCAAGCACCCAGGCAAAATGATACAATGCAGTAGGTGATATGTGTCTCAAAGGTTTTGAGTTACTAAAGTTCATGTTAAAAATAAACATGAATTAAAATGGATTATTCTATTAAGCAAACATCCCCTCTAATCATACAAAGATCAGATATCTAATTCACAAACAATTAAGCCATAAAAAATCATCACACATCCACCACCTTTGATTGCCTATATTTGGTTTTTCGCAAAGTTGTGGACTCTTAAGGGTAAAGTTCATGGGTAGTCTGTTTCATAACTCTAGAGAGCACAGTAAGCAGCCACCAACCAGACACAGTGCGGTAGGCGAATATGATTCTCAATTCACAATTTCTCACCACCGGAAATAAGAACAGAACATAATAAGCGTAGCGTTCATGGGTGGTCTGTTTCATAGCACTACTACACAATTTGTTAAAAAAGAAAGAAAGGTATTTAGCATCACGACGGAACAACTTTTACAGGCCAACAACGACAACATGCTGCAACCACCAGAACTGGTATCACAACTCATAGGGAAAGTCAAAAGATTTACTCTTAAATTAAGTAGTTACAACATCGAGCAATCGTCAAGCACATACACCATCACAAAAGTCACAGAACCTGATTCACAAAGCATTCAAACATTTGAGGACATTTCTGCAAAGATACAACTTATATGTCTTTTTTCCAAGCCATTTCCATCAACATGCTAATAAATTTGCAATGCATAAAACAAATGGGCCAAAACTTGAAATTCAACCTGTTTGACTGACCCATGCCAAATTCTAATTATTCTTTACTTTTAAACTTTCTATTTGAAAATAAAAAAATAGTGAAAGAAAAAAGACGACTACAATTCGCCATTTGCACATCACTTATTCGGGAATAAAACCATATAAATTCAAAAGGAACTGAAAATGTTGAGGATCGTTTTAATGTTTAAAATAACCAAATAGATTTTTATGTTTAGTTTTTTACTAACAAATACCAAACGATTCCCTATAAAATACACTATAATTTGATCATTATGATGTCAAATAATTATAAAATATATATTTGAAATGATAAAAATTGGACTAATTGGGTTGGTCGAGGTTGAACCATTGAATAACTTTAAATTACATTATATTTTAGCCACTAAGATATAAAATAATAGCATAATATATATTATGCCAGAAAAAATAGCTTGTTTTAGAATGGCAAACCCATGATGTTCATTTGTTTTACTTGATGACCAAATCCCATGTAGGTCAGGCCCATTCAACTCTTTTATTTTATGGTTAGCGGTTAGCCCATTAGATACCATGCATTAGTTTATTGTTAAATTTTTTATTTTTAACAATAAAAAGGAGTATTATTTTTGCCTTTTCATATATATTTTATCACCACGGATAAATAAAAGGGTATAAAGAAAAAAATTGACACTCCTTGACTCGTTTAAATCCGCATGTGTACGGTAAGTTGGCCCGTTCCATAGAGGAAAGAGAAAAAATTGACACTCCCTATTTTACCCTTCCTACAAACGCTCATGGAACAGGGAATTTGAAATGGGGGAAGAGTTTTTTCCACCCTGCTATTATATGTTTTTAATTTAAAAGGATACAACAAATGTACTTAGTGTGATTGGTTATGATCCTTGCCTTTCTTTAAAATGGTCATGGTTCGAATCCCAGTACATACCTTTTTAATGAATAAAAAAAAGTAATTGTGAAGACCAAAATGTCCTTCCTACTTTCACTCTCGTTGCAGGAAATTTGAAATGGGACTCCCGTTTTTCCCTTTGGTGTATTATATTATGTGTAGACTAACTAACTACGAATGATACATCTAATAAATTACCCTATTGAAATCATCCACAAAAATTGGTATTCATAAATTGTGTTCTTTTAAACTCACCCATTCTTCCAATCATATTATCCAGAAATTTAGGATTTAACGATTAACCAAACTAAAACATTAAAAAAACTAGTCATTTACAGTTTGCATAACAATATCATTGCTTTAATAGTTTTAAAAACTAATACCAATTTAAGAATTCTACATCACCTCTACACATTCAATATCACAATTCAATATGCAATATTCGAACCAATGATATTTGGGTTGCAATTTTTAAATTATTCTATATTTATAAGAGGACATAAATTAAATTTAGCATTAAACTCAAATTAAAATAATCAAAATATGAAAATTAAAATATTAAATAATAAAGAAAGTATTTTTGGGAGAGTTAGTGAGCTAGCTAACAATAGCGGAAAAGTCATATTATTTTTAGATTTTAGGTTTTTAGATTTTGTATTTAAAAAGATACAAAATATTTTTTAGTGTAGCTAGTAATAGTTGTTGTCTTTGTTTGGAAAGACCATGATTCGAATCCCGATATTGATGTTTTTTCTTATGAATGAAAAATAAATAATGATTGTGAAGACACAATTACCATTCCTACTTTCGGTGCAGAAAATTCAAAATGCTGAAAAACTGCCTCCAACTCTGCTATAATATATTTTTAGCACAATTACCATTCCTAATTTCGGTGCAGAAAATTCAAAATGCTGAAAAACTTCTTCCAAACAAAAAAAAAACAAAAAAAAAATATTGTGAAGACACAATTACCCTTCCTATTTTTGGTGCAGAAAATTCAAAAGGTTGAAAAACAGTTTTCCAACTCCACTATCTCTACAGTATCATTTATAGTGTAAAACTAAAACTGCATCCACCATTCAAAATTCGGTGCGCTTAGAGTGATTTGCGGGAGCTGAGGTGGCTGGACATTTAGGCGGGGTTTTCTTTCTTCCCTTCGTGGAACCGCAATAGCCCTTATTCCTTTACCTTTCTCCCACTATCCGCCTTCTCAAATCCCTCTTCTTTGCCTGCCGATCGATTCACTCAAAACCCAGTTACTTTTTTCCCTTTCTGCATCGTGTACCAAGAACCCAGTTACTTTTTCCCCTCTACGCCGATTTCAACTCTCGCTTCGCCCTCGATTCCTGGGTGTGCAAACAATAGCGATTTCAAGATGGTAAGAGTTTATGGATTATGGGGTTGTAGCTTCTCTTCTCTCGGGTCTGAAGGAGAGCAGTGGAATTAAAAAAGGCTGCAGGATCCAAATTGGTTTGTGGGATCGAGGAGCTGAGATTGTCTGAACTAGGCAATCCGCCATTTCATCTTCCCGCCACACTGATTTCAAGATGAGTTTATGGGTTCTGGCCAGGCATATCGATTCCAGGTAGTAGATATCGGACGGAGGTAAATGGGTTTCGAATATATTGCTGGACTGGGACAACAGCAATTTGGATCTGGGCGGCGACGAGGAGGAAGGAAGCTTCGACCTCGACACCAACGATGGCGTTGGTCCAATCCCTTTCCGTCGAGAGCTTGCTTTAAACCGCGCCTTGTGGGTTCGCGGTCACGGATGCCTCTCGAGCCTGACCACCCTATCATCTACGTCAATACTGTATTTGAGAAGATTACTTGGTATCGTGTTGAGGAGGTGAGGTGCTCGGCCGCAACTGGTACGTCTTTTCTATCCCTTTGTTTTTGCTAATTCGGAGCTTTAAATTTTGGTTTAGTTCCTCGATTTCTCCCTGTTCGTAGGATGGGGTGCGATATTGTTCTCGGGTGTTGGCCAATTTACACTTCGGATTTGAAGCAATTTACCCTTCACGGCAGTTGCTTTCGTTTTCATCCTAGCGTCGCCCTCCGGCCAGCCTCTGTTCCCAACTAACCTGTCATCGCCCCCTCAAATCCAAGAATATACCGGCGATCCAAATTCCAGTCTCGGAATCAGAATCCGCCCACCCAACTTCTCTGCTTCTGAAACCCAGGTTCCACTGATTCCCCTCTCTGTTCCTGTTTTAGCGTCCTTCTTCTGTTTGAATCCCAAATCCGTCGGATTGTTATTCTTCCTTTGTTCTTCACCCCGGCTCCCACTCTACTTCTCCAGTTCTACGCCAGGCTACCATACAGCTTGGATGAAGGAATTACTAGCCAGGTTCGATCGATGATCGTCTCACTGTGAAGAAGGGTTTCTCGACAACGGTTCCCACTTCCCAACCTCATCTACAATTGGTACTTACAGCCTCCACGAGAAAGAAGTGAATGGGGACGGTGCGTGGCAAACGGAATGAGGAAGGTGTTAGTGGTTTATCATTGGATCAATAATGCTAATCCCTCTTTTTGTTATACTATATTCAGCTGCACCGTTTTCAACTTTCTTTCCCTGCCCTTTTAGTGTGCTAAACCAGTAACATCAACCCCTTTCAGGTAAAGGATCTTTCTTATCAATTCTAATCCTCTGGTTGTTTGTGTTCATAATCGGTCACTCCAGAGCACTGGTTCATCGTATCATTGCAACAGTTCCTCCTCTCTCTAGATGTATAGCTTTACCAGACTTTACTCCTCTAGATTCAAAAGATCCAGGGCAATGAAAAGCTAGAAAGTAGTCATTTAAACGGTACCTTAATTCCCCGATAATGCCCCTGAAATTTCTAGCATTATTGGAGTAAGTTAATTTTCCATTGCCCTGGATCATTACAACTCCATACCTTAAAGAGGAGTACTGATAATGCCCTACTAATTTCCTGGTAAAGCCTGTTAGAGGACTAATGTTGTTCAATACACATATTTGTCAAACTAAATTTCCCGATAAAGCTACAGAAGAGTAGGGGTGCATTATAGGAGTAATGTGCTATGAGGATATTGTCTCATACTCTACTGTGTTTTTCCATTTCTGCATTTCAAGACACTCATCTATCAGTGTAGTTCAATGATTAATTTTAACGCATATTCGCTTTTAACCTCGGTGAGTAATATAAGACTGTCATCCATCAGTTGGTTCAATACCTTGACCATATGACGCTTTTACTTTGCTACCTCCCAAGCCTCGAAGTTATACTTGTAACTTGAATTGTCAAGATTTGCATCCGGTATTTTACCCTTAAGAGCAACCTAATCATATATTTATATCTATTAGTTTCTTATAGCAAGCTGGTTTGTGTTTTCAGAATCATATGGAACATTCTTTTTAATGACAGATAAGAGCAACAAGCTGGACCTATGAAGACGAGAAACATTTTGCAAAACCTTGCACAATTGAAGAACTATACTCATTTCGCAATATCAGATGCATCTGGTACTCATTGCATAACTTTTATCTATCTCAGAGGTACTTTTCATTCGCCTCAAACTGGTGCATGCATGGGGTTTTATTAACTTTTTTCACAACTTATAATTTCATTCGTTTACTCGGCACTTTTAAGCTTGCACATATATCAGAAGTGATTTATGCTTGAAATAGTACATTGTTGACACCTGTGATTGCTATTGAAAAGGGGACATAGAAGATGAGTAATTTATGGCCACTCATTGTTCCCAAGCTTCTGGCTACACCTGTACTGCGAGCAGCTCCTAGAACCTATACTACTTTGTATTTGCTGCACATGAGCATTGATTATTCACAAAAACGAAGGATGAGCTTATAGTTGCGGCTTTGCTAATCACTTGGGTGGAAAGTAGGGAATAAGCATGATACCCATCATTTGGAACTTCCATTTCATTTTCATGTGTTGTTCTTACAGTAGTTAGTTGCGGGTGGTCTCCATAGGTCCAGAACTTCAAAAGTAAGCACTGGTGTTCTAATTGCAAGTTGATGAGGTTATTTTACGTTTGGGCTTTTGGGTATTTTCGGATTGGGTTAGGGGTGTTTTTTTCCTTACGGTTTAAGTTTTCCTTTTGTGTTTGGGAAGGGGTATTCGGGTAGGATTAGGTCAAGTCTTAGGCTTTTCTAAGCCTATAAATATATACCTTTGGCATTAGTTCCGTATCAATCAAATAAATCAAAGGTTTATAGACACCAACGTCTTTCTCTCGCTTGTGAGTTACAAGCAAAACCCTTGAATCGTGGGTTACGGTTCATCACAAGTCAATAAGCAGTAGTGCTTATTCAACTCTTTTTGATAATAGTGAAATCATTTTATTAGGAATTAAGAAAACTACAGATAAAAAAGGAGTTAAAAATGAACAGGGATTCCCTAACAAGTAGATCAGATCAATTCAATAAGAAGTTCCCCATGTCAATTTTCAGCTCCTGATCTTGAAAGATAATTCTTATGGATTCTCACCTGTTAACTCTTAGAACTTGGTGGAAACCAATGGATTTACGCATGCTAACTCTTGAAAGGCGCTCTTTGTCCATCAATCTGCACTTGCTTTGTCACCTAACATGATTGAAAGCTCAAGGCATCGATTCTGCTTCAACATTGATTCTGTTGTAAGAGTTTCCAGCTGCTAATCTTGCTGTATGTTTGTGATGAGCGTCGATCTTAGCATACCAGCCATGTTTACATTAATTTGTATAAGTTATACTTCCTCTTGACACTATTGTCAATGCCTAATGATTGGTACAAGATTTCATGGCCTGGATGTCTCACGTCAAGGAAGTAGATGATATGTGTGTTGGAACTTGCATCTCTTTGTTAATAATTCTTTTTCCCCTTGCCAACTTATGAATAAGTGGTTGATATACTAGGTTGTTTCGTATAGTTTGCAAAATTAGCTAGATGATAATGATGTCATTGGAAAATTAACATCCAAATTGTGTTTTCTGGTTCTCCTTGAAATTTTAGGAGTATTTTGCCTTGGAAATAATTAAACCTTGATGAAGTTTTTTTTTATTATGTTTAGTAAATGAACTTGGACAACACGTATCAAAACATATTTTCTTCTTATTTCATTCATATATTTCAATCAACCTTCTTGTAACGTATATGTGCTTATTCTATATATGTGCTTATTCTACGAAATTTGTTGATTACTTGGCATCATATTATACAATATGATTATTGAGCAAATCACATTGTCTCCGTCATGAAGTGTGGGCCAATAATGATCTAGGACCAGCTCACCTCATTTATCTTACATCATTCAACAATAATGATTTTTATTCTATTTTTTTATCTTTCACTATTTTTTATGCTTAATATTATGCTAATTAGATTTCTAGACAAATCATAAATCTTGAGGTTTGATTCATCAACTTTCTGAATTGAGCATGTGACTTTAGATTGGTGGGTGTTTAAAATAGGCATAGCTAAGTTAGTATTCTTTGGTCAATTGGTTGTTGTAGAAGATGGAAATTGACACTAATAAGCTACATTCCTTTGCTCTTATGGATTTAACAGAATAATCACGAATACGATAATGGTTACGGAAGAAGTTTAGATTCGGACAAAGGGAGGCTTCCCGAAATAGAAAGATACGATCTAGAATAGTCAGCATCTGAAGATTTCGGCTGGGTGTCCTCAACTTCAGAAGGTTTGAACAATAGTTGATGCAATTGGATTGAAGATAAGAATCGCTCGCTCTTTCACCCTCAAGAAATTGAGAGTTGAACTGTCTTGGCCTTAATCAAGCTTTCTACTGGGGAGCATAGAAAATGCTCTAGAGTGGTTGCTTCTAAAACACTAATTGTATATTAAATCATTTTCTGTATAATTAAGCAACCAAGACCCTTGGCTTCGTGTTCACAGTCCTTGGGTTACCCAAAATTAAAAACTCTATTGTATCTAATTTGGAATCCAATGTTTTGCATATAACTTAACCTTTTTTTTAATAATGCACTGATTATATATATTTGTCGAAAGGTCAATTCCATCAATTGCTAACTAGGCTGACTTTGTTTTTATTTTTGTTCTTTTATTTTGGACACATTTTGGTTATCTTTATTAATATATCCTTACCATTAAAAAAAGTCTAGCTTGAAGCTTTTGTAGTTTTTATCTGCCTATGTTGTGATGCGATGAAATTATTCTTACTTGAAATGAAGGCAAACTTAGAGATCAATATCATTCAAAATCAAATAGAAAATTGAAAAATTTCATTGTCATTTCATTTTGGGCAAAATTCAAATTTTGAAAATGGGAGTAAGGATACCTTTTTCAACCATTGGAATGTAGAAATGAGCTTCAAATTAGATTTCACACTCTCGAACGATGATGATACTCCAAATAATCGACATATCCATATATTCTCTAGACGTCATATAGAAGGATTGTCAACCATTTGTACCCGTGGGTTTTTGTGGTAAAAAATTTACAATAACAAGTTTCTTTCAAAATAAAAGTTTAATATCAATTTTTTCACACATATTAATCATAAAAAATACCAATCTAGAGCATACAAGCAAACCGCAAATGATCAATACAAATTGTTCAAAATTAAAGATAAACATCTATAAACAATAAGATTAATTGAAAACTTCTTCTTCGTCAACTAAGTTTCTTCACTCTCCACTTCATCATATCAACTTCATTCTAAACAATTAGAAAGAACAAATTATACATGTCTCAACAAACATAAAGAATATTAATTGTTTAAGGAAGATATATTATTTAGAATATTAAATATACCGGAAAAGTAATTATATGTGTGTGTGGGGGTACCCATGGGGCGAGTTTACCTAAACCCAAACTCGACCCGGTAAATAATGTAGCGGTTTTAAACTCGAACCCGGCCCATAACCCATCAACATGGGTTTTACCCGTGTTAACCGGGTTGGGTCGGGTGGATACCAGTGGGTTCGGATTCTGTTGTCATCCTAGCTCCGCCTTCTCTTTCCCGTGGCGTATAACAAGGCAATTTATTTTCTGTTTAATTTTTAAATTTTTTTTTTTTTTTTTTGGTGAAAATTTTTATGTGTGTCATGCGGCAGGCGCATGTGTAATAAATAGAGGCAGAGATGAGTTGCTTACTCCCGCTGTTGATTCCCTTCTGATTATGGTTTGGGCGACATGGCGATGGACGGGTACGTTGTTCCGGCGGACCCGGCCGTAGCGTCGGCGGCGACGACCCCCGCGGCTGTAGTGATCGCCGCCGTGAAGAAGAAGACTCAGCCGGCGACCAGCTGGATCCTCGTCGATTCCGCCGGCCAGGGCACCATCCTCGACGCCGACAAACATGCAATCATGCACCGTGTCCAGATTCACGCCCGCGATCTCCGGATTCTCGATCCTCTGCTGTCGTACCCTTCCGCTATTCTCGGCCGTGAGAGGGCCATCGTTCTCAACTTGGAGGTTCGTCTCAGTCAAAACTAGATTCAATTCAGTCATTGGTTGGGTGTCGATTTCTCCTCTGGTTTTCGCTGACGGTGCTCTTGCTTCGTCTTTGGTTGCAGCACATCAAGGCGATTATCACTGCTGAGGAGGTTAGTGATTTAGAAATCTAGTTTGATTTATTGACGAGGGATTGTTGATTGATGTGTTTGGTTGCTGAGAAATTTCGAAGAGAGGTGATCGAGAACTGTATATTTTTACTTAATTGGAAAGTGGAAACTCTTACCAGCTGTATGAGCTCACCATCTGATGTCAAGCTAGTTGCTGATTTGTGGTTTTTGTTTATGAAATGGTGAATTGAATTGTGTTGCTGGGATTTCTTTCTACTGAAGCACAGAGTAGTGTTGTGGCTCTCGATGTTTTCTTCAATTCTGTGTCACTTTACTCTCTTGAAGATTCTGAGAGTTTGAATTCTCCATCATTAAACCATTCCTAGGTATTGTTGAGAGACCCATCGGATGAAAATGTTGTTCCTGTTGTCGAGGAGCTTCAAAGGCGATTACCACCTGCAAGAGAAGGTCAAGCGAGTGGAGAAAACCATGGCACCCAGCAAGCTGATGTTGATGGGGGTGAAGAAGATGGTATGTCTCACTGGAAAGTGTATCGATCCATTTTGATTCTTTAATTAAACAGTTTGTCATTAGAATGTTTGGTTCAGCGATTAGTTCAGGGTTTTTTCTGCTGATGTAATGCATTCTGAATCATCACAGAATCTCCATTTGAATTTCGTGCTCTGGAGGTTGCTCTGGAAGCCATTTGTAGCTTTCTAGCTGCACGTACAACAGAATTAGAGACTGCTGCTTACCCTGCATTGGATGAACTAACTTCCAAGGTAAGGCTTCTATTTACAGTTCGACTGAACGTCCTGGCATTGGGAGACGAAGAAGAGGTCCTACTGTGGGAGGCATTTCTTTTATTTAATCTTTGTCCTCTACATATGCAGATTAGCAGTCGCAATTTGGATAGAGTTCGTAAATTGAAGAGTGCAATGACAAGGTTGACTGCTCGGGTTCAGAAGGTATTGGGATCTATGGATTTGACTTTTAAGCATATAGGACTATTCTTGCAGTGTAACTACTAATTACTGTCAAGAGTTCCGGTGAAGTTACTTCCTTAATACTTATGGCTTACCCCTAGCATATCCAAATGTGATATCTTTCAGGCATGGGTGTGTCCATTTACATGCTGATTGAATTGTCTGTAATTTGTTGATGAGGAATTGGTAATAACTTTGGTTGTAGGTCCGCGATGAGCTTGAACAATTACTGGATGATGATGATGATATGGCTGACCTTTACTTGTCGAGGAAGGCTAGCTCATCTTCACCAGTTAGTGGCTCAGGTATCGACTGGTTTGCTGCTTCCCCCACAATTGGTTCTAAAATCTCTAGGGCAAGCAGAGCAAGCATGGCGACAGTTCATGGTGATGAGAATGATGTGGAGGAGCTTGAAATGTTGTTGGAGGTTATTATGAAACTCTTATGCTGCTTATTTGAATTTTCCTTTATGGTCTCAGCAATATCTCATGGGTCATAATGGCTTTTCAGGCTTACTTTATGCAAATCGATAGCACATTGAACAAATTAACCACGGTGAGCACCTTTGTGTGTTCATTCATAAGAGTGCAGTTGACACACATGTGACAAGGCTATAATGCTGTTTTTCTATACATTTTCATCAATAATTTATTGTTGGTACCTACAGTTGCGAGAATACATTGATGATACTGAGGATTACATCAACATTCAGGTGAGCCGTGTGACAATTGAAACTTCGTAATCATTGACTTGATAGCTTGATTTGATGCATTTCTCAAAGTGAAATCTTATGCATAAAATCTTTTGTCTTGCAGCTTGACAACCATCGAAACCAGCTTATTCAGGTATTCCTCTCCACCCATTTTTTGCATTTCCGAGTGTAAACCTGCTTCCTGCTTTACTCGTACACAGAAATTCTCTCTGAACCTTCTCTCTTTGAATGACAGCTAGAATTATTTCTTAGTGCCGGAACTGTATGTCTGTCAATATATTCTTTGGTGGCCGGAATATTTGGCATGAATATCCCTTACACGTGGAATAAGGACTATGGATACGTATTCATATGGGTATGATATACTAATTCAGAAACTTGTGAAGTTTTCGAGCTTCCCTTTTCAATCTCACCCAAATGACGAACTGAATTGTTTGTGCTAGGTGGTAGTATTAACAGGTATATTGTGTCTTATCGTGTTCCTGGGAATCATGTCCTATGCACGGTACAAGGGCCTGATTGGATCTTGAAGTTGCCTGCTCCTTGATTGTTTTGGGCTTACTTCATTATCTACAACTGGTGCTGCAAATTGGCCCTTGGTGATGATATATCCATTCTTTATGATCATGGCTGGGGCGGCTCTCTGAGCTTTCGTTCGTCATGAAGATGATAGCTCTTATTCTCTCACCGCCATTAACGAGTTGGGTCTGAAGATCGTACCAATCCAAATTAGAAGGGCTTGCCATATGCCTTTTGGTCTTTTTTGCAGGTGTTCATCTTTGAGCAAAACAGCAGTCACCGTTCCATAGATGAACCGAATCACTAGTGAACTTGGCTTCAATAATTCTCAAATAAAGCAAAGCAACTGTAAACAACAGCAACAGCGGATGGCAGCAGCAGAAACATTTAAAGCTTATCTTAGAAATTTTTATTATGCAACTTGATATTGAATTAGTGGTTACAATATGGGTGTGGATTATTCCATTGTAATATGGAGCAGCTAGCTAGTTTGATACGTTGGTCTAGTATGACATTAACATTATTATAGAGCATGATGACATTTAGATTTATGACGTGTCCTGAAATGGTAAATTTGTTAAGTATTATGAGCTAGCATTGACTACCGTACCACTTATATTTTTTGTTGTGTGACAACTGACATCCATCTGGACAATAGCCCTCTAATCCAACAATGGCACACTAGAAATAGTTTAATAAGGATTTTCTTACATTATATGGTAGGATGCATACTGTAATATGACTTGGTATGTACTAAGTGGGTTGGCTGGACTTCAATCTCGAATTGGTCCACCCGCTTGCTAACGAGTAGGTCTAATTATGATTTGTAGTCCAACCACATTTTGTGATTTGCGGAACACATTTGGTCACTCAAATTATACAAATCCTCCACGTTTACCATCCGAATTACTTTTTTTTCTTATTCGCCACTAACTTTACGAATTCTCATCATTAGTCACCGTTCGTTACACTCCGTTAAGTTTGTCCTATGTGGCAGTCAACTATTAAAGTTTGACCGTTAACTAGATGACGTGAAAATTAATAAAATTCAAAAATAATAAAAGTTTCCACTTTATCATTCCACTTACTTTGTCTATATGAATTATTTATAAAAAATAATCAATTATAAAAATTAATATCGCAGGAGATCTTGCTCTGGTTCCTCATGAAAGGGATTCGGGTCGACGACCCTACCCCAAGACTGGATTGATTCACTTCGAAGTCGGGGTGGTGGACAAGCAGTTCATTTTCTCCATATACGAGATCCCCGACCAATGTATCGACGGCGACCACGGAGGTGGTGGTGCCGTGGTTGTCGCTGGTGTTGTTCCCTTCACTGAGCTTCTGTTCCTGTTGTTAACGTCGACGAACGGACAATCTGAATCCAAGTGCTCTGAGGCCATATAATTGTCGGCCAATTTATTGTTGTTGTTTTTGCTCCGCAAGTACTAATCTTTCTCCTTCTCGTCCATCTAGCGCTTCTGATCCTCTTTGTCGTCGTCGTAATCGTCCTCCTGGATCCCGGTGATGATCCCGATGTCGGCAAACGCCTAGACAGGGGAAAGGAGGAGACGGATGGAGAGGGAAAAATGAGAAAGAAATAATAATAAATAAACAAAATCAAAAATAGGAGTTAATAAATTTCTGATAATGCCAAAACTGCCCTTTCTATTTAATAATAATTCATTACTTTATTTGGACCATTAGATTATTTCAAAGGCTAAAGGGGCTTAATTAAGTGACTAAGGACCCCCTCTAGTCACCAGATATGGACCCTGAGAAACAATGCTTTTCATGTGAAAATAAGGTGCGAGTCAATTGATCCACCATCTAAATATACTAGGTTTTGCCCCGGCCCGTTGGCCGGATTACTTTATATTACCCATTCATTGGTTGGGAGTGGAAGTAAGAGTGAAAGTGGGAGAACATCTATTTCGAGATAATTATATATTCAAAATATTGATAGAGCATTAAAGTTACTTTAGATTACTCACTCATTCAGTGAACCATGGTGAGTACATGTGCTTCTAAACTCTCACTCATCATATGTACGTCTTTTTTCGGTGAAACAATCGCTCATTTTCTTTCGCCGCATCTGTCAATTCACGAATTTTCGTGCATAATTCGCACTTCATCTAAAAATGATTGCAAATCTTTTTCGAATTCCTCCAAGTACACATGCTTAGCGTCAACTCCACTATCATATATTTTGTAGATATATAAATAGACAACAAACTTGTTTAGTGTTATTAGTTATGACCAGAGTTAGTAAATACTCCGTTTGATACACGTATATGTACCAGTACGTACTTTATCTGTTTAAATCTTCCGTATCCGTATTATTGTCAAGCCGTTTCATTTGTTTCCGTTCATTTGACAACTCCCGTACTAAACACATATAAAATCCGTATAAAACGTTTAATATCCGTATTTAATAAATTAAATTATTAACTTTACTATTATTTATTTTTAAAAATAATTAATTTTATATATTTATGACTATTAACGTATTATTAAACGTAACATTAGCTTAGAGATGAAGTAAAATACCTGTACGTATTTTATACATAACTTTCCCGTACCGTATTTTACTAACTATGAGTTATGGCCAAAGTTTTTAACCCGATTTCAATCGTTGAATCCTTCAAGCAAGTGGATTAAGGGTCGATGGTGGAATTGAATTACCTTCGTTTAGCCAAGTTTTACCAAGATATATGAAAAAATTTATTTGTTCCACTTGTATGGTGCTTAGATATTTATGATAAACATAGGTCCAATGACATTTTAATATAATTCATTCATTGGGATGAATTGAATTTATTGGTACTTTTTTATACTTATTTCTTACTTTTAGAGTGACGCTTTAATTTTCAAACTCTTCCCTCTTTCTTTTCCTTTTCTATACGTTCTTTCCTTCTTTACATTTCTAGGTCTCATATTCTATTCTCAATATTTGTTTACATTTTTTCTCCAATTCGATTTCAAGAGCATATACAAATGAGGAACTTGGCTTTTGTTGTCACACTCGCACAAAGTATCAATCCAAATGCATGTTCCTCTTTTTTTTTTCTTTACATGAGATGACGTCGATTGGCTCAATGAATGTGCAGCAAGAAGAAAAATGGAATTGACTACGGAGAGATTATGAAGTCTTCTGAGATGGTTGAGACTCGTATTATTTCCTGTCAAACCTAAATGAAATAGAAGAGACGATGGGATTGTCAAACATGGGTTGTTGATCCTCACCGATGTATGGTATGTGATAAGAAAAAGCACGACATGACAATGAAACTACGAATATGATTTTTGAAAACAACTTCATTTTGAAGTGGCCCGGAGCTCGAACCAATTTGTAGAATCGGTTGGATTTATCAATTTGATTGTGGTTTCCTGGGTTTAAGCGAACCCGGTTAGATAACCAATTGAGAGTTCAGAGCCAGGTGAGATACTGGGGTTTGAGCATAATTGGTTCAACTGACTGATTCAACTCGGATTGACAATTATGGTTATTACTCTTGTCTCTGTTTGAAGATACATTAGTTCAATCTAATACTTGCCTATTTTCTAATAAATAATAAAGATAAAAAATCGTGAAGCAAAAATATCATTCCTACTTTCGCTTTCGTTGTACAAAATTTGAAATGAGAGAATTATTTTCTCATTCCAGTATTATATATTTTGTAGAGTGTGTATGTAGACATTTCCTTGCCCTACAAATTCATTAACACATTAAAAAAAGTTGAAATAAACCAATTTATTAAACTCAACCTCGTCTACTGATTGTCGGGTCCATTCATGTAAGAATAGGAAGAGGTTTACAATTTAGCGGTTTGCCAAACCAAAATGTTCAAAAAACCAATCCCATATTGTTTAGACAAAGATATGAATATAATTATTTCATAATAGTTCCAAAAATAAATACTAATTTAAGAATTCTTTATAACTTATGCATTTTCAGTACTCCAATTCGATATGAAATATTCGAACTAATGATATTTGAGTTGTGATTTTGAAGTTATCCTCATGAGCCATGTTTCCCTACCCAGTCCATTAATTACTCTCGGCCCTCCCCACCATTTCCAGCTCACTCCCCACCCTCCAACACTTGCCCGGCCCAACACGATTCCTTTCCTCCTAATACATCCCCTGCCCCCTCTCCCAACTCCACCACCAGCTCGGTCCACCCAACACATGTCGGCCCATCTCACCTATCCCGATCAGTTGAATCCTTACCCGCTACCTCTCGTCCACCAATCCTTCTCTAGTACAAATTACTACGAATCTCTCCCACAATATCTTAATGAGTTTTCTTTCCCTTCAAGAATTAAGTCGTATGATTTACATTTTACTAATTATTTTAGAATAACACATTTACATTGCTATTTTTCACTTGCCGCGAAGCGCAGTGAGCTTATCTAGTTTTCAATGAGAGTAAATATTGATCAAACAAACCAAACCAATTGAACACCGATACGAAAGTTGATGTGACTTGTAAACCATCAAGCAAGTTGGAGAGTGCTCAATATGAGAAATTGAGTTGTTGGATTAATGCGGTCATAATCTACCAAAATAGTCAATACAACTTTTAATATAAAGTTCACTTTTCCAAGAGTTCGATATTGTTCTTGCCTGATACAATTGTGAATATCTATCTGCCGCCAACTAAAATAATTGAATTCAAATTTTGAATTTTCCCTTCCTTACATTATATAAATTCGGATACCATTAACATTTGACTCATTCCAATAAAAACTTCTGTCGTCGAGCCCAGTGCCTCCGTCGCAGGCCAACCTCTCGTCGCCCTCAATCGTCGAAAAACATGTAATTTTAATTTTTCGGCAAGTTTTCCGACGAGAAACATTGTGGGCCGAAAAAAAATTACGGCCGGAACGCCGCCGAGCCAAAAGATTCTTTCGGCCAGGCCTGGAGCCAGCCGAAAATTTCTTTCAGGCCGGCGGCGTTACGGCCGCAAAATATGTTCGATCGGTCGCCGAACACGCCTGCCTATATTTTTGCGGCGGCGTGTTCGTAGGCCGACATAAATTTTTTTGCGACCGGGCCGCCGCCGTGCCAAAAGAGATTTTCGGCCCGGCGGCGCACTGGCCGCAAAATTTTTTCTGCCCGGCGGTGCACCCGCCAAAAATATTTTTCAGCCCGGTGGCGCAACGGCCGCAGATTTTTTTAGGCCTGGCCGGATTTTGCACGCAGTTTAATTTAATTTAATTTAATTTAATATGTTAATTAATTAGTCAATAAAAAATTACTTAATTAGTTAATAGAAATTAGCAATTAGTGTTAATATTTATTTAAATTGGTGTATGAATATTTAATTACTTAGATTTATTAATAGAAAATTAATTAATTAGTGATTGATTTAACAATTAATGTTAATATCTCATGAGCAGATAGTGACTATCATCCCCACAAATACAATGAGAAAGTGCCATAAAACCACAATGGCCGTCTGGACTAGGGTTAAAATCGCCTACCAGCAAAGGTCGAACAAACTCTGGAAACAGCTACTCGATGTAAGGTTAAGAATATTGCCCTGCGGTGCTCTGGGATGAGTAATCTACAAAAATATACCAAACGGTCAAAATTACTTGGACAAAATTTACAAACATAAACCAATTACTACTAGATGGACTATGATATTAATCCAATTACTCACATGTATTATGCTCGTCGGATTCACCTCCACTCGATCGCCCCCTGCCTCCACTCGAACCAGGCCCAGTACTCCTCGAACGAGACAACTCATAATATGAACGAATGCGACTGGTGCTTGTTCAAGGTCTCCCTCTCGGATTCTCATTCGCTTCCGGTTCCCTCACATTGTCCTCTGCTGGGTGAAGCCCATAGAATAGGGCATCTCTTGCTTGTCTCACTGCTTCAGGACCTCTTTCTTCCACCTCAACAGTAAGATGCCTAAAGTGTTGGCGTTGAAGCTCAATTTCATCACTGACTTGTTGTTGACCTGGGGGGGTTTTTATAATCCAAAGTCCGCCAAAATACATGAAACTCTTGAGCATAGAATTGACGTCCTTCTTCCTTAGCTTGAACAACCTGGCAAGCACACTTGAGCCCATGTGTCATATGAAAATGACACGCACAACTGTCCTTCAACTCCTCCGCCCCATCTAACATCAGTTTGATTGCCTCACAACTAACGACGCTCCTCAAAAATGTGCATGAAGCCTCAATTGCCATACTCAGATTGCGGTTCAGTGACTTGTGTAGTTTCATTCACCACTTCCAGAAACTGATGTTCCATGTAGTTGTGGTTCTTCGCAAAACAAGTGTCAATCGCTCCTCTACCATACACAAGGAAAGTCTTGAATGAAGAGTGAGATGGCTCAACTCTATTCGAGCTCGTGTTACCAAGATGAAACACATGGTTCGTGTAGCACTTTGCCCACATTGTCCCATGAGGCAACCACTCACCTCGCACGTAGTCGACCATTTTTATGTTCTTCTCTGTCCAGACCCTCTCAAACTCATTAATCTTTTGAAGAAAACCCTCCTGAGTCCAACTCCATGCAGCTTTGTTGAAATATTTCTTCCATACCGCTTGTGCTACCTCTCTTTTTGCAATTCCACCCAGTAATTGCTCAAACTTTTTCTTCACACAGTTGTTGACGTGCCATAAACATAG